ACTATACGAACACACAGAAGGCTTTCACAAATTTAAAAAAAAAAAAAAAAAAAAAAACCTTAAAGCCGTGGTGGTGCACGGCTTTAAACCCAGCACTTGGGAGGCAGAGACAGGCGGATCTCTGAGTTCAAGGCCAGCCTGGTCTACATAGTGAGTCTCAAAAAGACAAAAAAAAAAAACCTTAAATGCAGAAGAAATACATGAAAATAACCTCTTTAAGACTTATGGGGCTGGAGAGACAGCCCTGCAGTTAAGAACACTGGCTGCCCTTCCAGAGGACCAGGGTTGGGATCCCCACACCCACCTGGGGCTAACTCCAGTTCCAGGGTATCTGACACCCTCTTCTGACCTCCATGGGCACTGCAAGACACCAGTGCACTTACACACATGCAGGCAATACACTCGTACACATAAATTTTTTTAAAAAGACTTATGTACAATTACTCCTCACTGTGAGCTTGTATTTTCCTCAAAGTTTTGTCAGAAGTTAGATATTTCCAGAAGAATCCAAGAAACATTTTCTATAGAGAGGAAAAAAGACACCCGCCTCTTTCCATGGGCAACACTGATTGGTCTACCAAAATGAAGTTTTACAAATGGAAAACTGCAGCTGAGACCGCCACAGCAAAAACTCCCAGATGTACACAGCTAACTACAGGATGTCTTGTATGGGGCTAAGAAAACCACTGCGCCGTTGATGCATACAGCAGCAAAGTTTTCCAAACACGCCCAAACAACATGGCTTTCTGCGACCACTTCTGTTTTTCTGAACTGCCCTGAACAAGGTAGGGTTCATTTTATAACCAGAAAAAAGACAAATACTACTGATTTATTAGAGGCCTTTATTTCAAAACTAACAACACTGAAGGTCTAAGTCTAGAAAGGTGCGCACACACCGCAACACCTGCAGCAGACTAGGAAGTTGATAATCCCCCAGTGACTGCCCATGAAGGAACCCTGTCACCTGTTCAAGGACCATCCACACCTGGACCACCCTCAGGCACTGAGTCAGACTATCCCCAACCACATTCTCAAAGGATTCGCCAGACTGATCTGGTCTAACACATAAACACTATTCAAAGGGGTGACTAAGCATTTGGTTTCTGTTTATTTCCCCGCTCCAAAAAAAGAAATTGTGATCTATAATCGGTAGCCTGCCTCCACAGCTGACTTAATGGGTAAAATTGGATAATCACTCAAAACACGCTATCCTCTGCTAAGGCCCAGATAAAAGGCGCTGAAGCGCACTCTGACCATCCCCAAGCAGCACGGACCTAGAGAAGAGGCTTGTTACAGCTGAGTCTCCCGAACAGATGACGTCTACCTTTGCTACACAGCCGCTAAGGACTCATGGACAAGCCCTTCCTGAAATTGGAAACAAGTTGGAAATGAGCTCTTCTACCCCGAGAGGAGAGACCACTGGGTAGAGCTTCCATTTACCTTAAACTCAGCTGGGGAAAAGGAGTCTAACCTTGGTGCTCACAGCACACCTGTGAGAAGATCAGAATCCAGAACACAGGATGCGGGGAGGATGCCAGGAGGATGTGGCGAGTGCGGATGACAGCACCAAGGATTTCTCACTCACTGCTGGTAGGAATGAAAAAAACATTCCAGCCACTTTGGAACCCAGCTTAGCAATTTCTTACAAAAGTAAACACATGTTTACAGCATAATCCAGCAGCCCTACTCCTGAGTATTTACACAAATGGGCTGAAATCATTTGTCTAGACAAATGCATGTTAATGTTTATGGTGGCTCTGTTCACAACTGCCAGAACTTGAAAGCAACTAAGATGTCCTTCCTAAGGGAGAAATGGTTACATCCAAGCAACAATCAACAAACAAAAATAAGCTCTGAAAGTCTGGGGAGATGGCTCAGAGGGCAGAGCACTTGCTGCGCAATCATGAGGACTAGAGTTCAGATCCCCAGAACCCACGTAAATGCCAGAGATGCCAGTGGGCCTGGCAGCCCTCAGGAGGAGACAGGATGCCTGAGCAAGCTGGCTGGCTAGATAGACTAGCCTTGTCTGCAGGCTCCTGTTCAAATGAGAGCTACCCAGGCACAGGAAGGCCACCTCTTAGCCTCCACATACACATGTGAACCTGCAAACACAGCAGGCATACATGCACATCACACACACCTACACATGCCAAAAAAAAAAAAAAAAAAAAAAAAAAAAAAAAAAAAAAAACCAAAGCACAGAGGATCCTTTCAGGCACAGAAGGCTGCCAGCGTCTCCACACCCAACTCTGACATTCTTCTGGGCAAGGGAAATCCAAGGGGAGAAAGAGTACAATAGTTCTAGGTGTAGTGGAGAGAAGACTGTAGGGAAGCAGAGCATTATTATTCTTCATGACACTACGATAGCAGGTAACATGTCCTTACACATGAGTCCAAACCCACAGAAGGCTACAAGCACAGAGCACCAACTAACAAACGCAGCACTGTGGGGTACGAGGCTGTGGTGGAGGAGGCTGTGCCTACACACAGTATAAGGAGTAGGTGGGGAAACCTGTACTTGATGCTCACTTTTATTGTGAACCTAAATCTGTTCTAAAAAAGTAAAGCCTATTTTTTTTAGTGGGTGTCTCTCTCTCCTTCAAGGGGATGGCTAAAAAGCAACACACCATCCTGAAAAGTGTCCAAGGAAAAAGACAGCCATCATCACTTTCAGCATTCATCAACCTGAGAGCTAATGTTATAATTAGAGGAACTAGTAAGAGCCAGGAAGGCAAGAAATAGGATACTAATCTTCCTGTCAAACTTACTCAAACTGTGAAAAATCTAGCAGAGGCCTCGTTGAACTACCTAGGCCTCGACACAGACTTCTGAGGGTTCTACCGGCCAGAGCAACACAGGAAGGAGTCAGGCTATCTGGATCAGCACAGCTTGACCTTGGTGTCAACTATACAAGTGCTGAGTGGACTCTGCACCCACAAGCCAACAGTTACATTAAATATGCCTTAGAAGTCAGGCCTTACGCAACGGTGGCCGGGGTCCCTCATTCCAAAGCTCCCTGGAATCACCTCTCTGCGTTTGAAACGGACCACCTTAGCAACACCCGCCAAGGACTAGGTAGGGGACCAGGCGAACCACAAGCACTTCCAGTAAACATTAGGGATTAAAGAATTGAGAAGTGTCCAGCACTTACAAACAAATGTCTAGAACAATTTGAAATCCTTACTCAATAGGTCCACAGAGCACTTACTCAAATGTTACCTATCAGCTGTAGTTGAGGGTAAGTGCTAGCTAGTAAGTAAAACTGTCACCACTTTACACCCCTCCTCCATTCAGAAGGCCTCTGGTCTGACATACCAGGAATGAACATGTTTGTCCCCACAAGGCCAGTGAGTTTACCAACAAGCAATAGACCTACTTAGAATATGGTCAGCGGGTCAAACAGACAACCCTTTCAGTCTCTCCACTTCATCCCTCCCTGCCAGACAAACAGCCTGAATTGCTCCCTGCACAAAAAAGCTAAAGGTGCCATGGCCTCTGCGTTTTGCTCCTTCCCATGGCTCACAGTCTGCAAGAGACCATTTACTAAGTCAGACTTTAAATAAACGGGCTCCACAACACCCCTCCTTCTCCAACCTCACTGGGCAGAGTCCTCTGTTAGCTAAGCAAGCTTGGAGCTTGGTTGCAAGTGGCCACCTCCATAAATCCCTTTCCTACCAACAGGGAGGGCCACTGGAGACCTTTGCAGCCTGGAGAGGCAACCATGTGGGTCCAGTCCCATTCCCCAGGACTGGATCTGCGCATGCAAAATGTCTTTCTACAGTCAACTGCTATTTAGGGTGCAGCCCACACTGCTGCCTTGGTGGAAGCCTGTTATCTATACAAATCAAGAAGCCAGACCCAGGAGACACACACACACACACACACACACACACACACACACACACACACATTTTTTCCTGGCACTGGGGGCAGCCTAGATTTGTCCCACTCCTTTTCCAGGATCTCATCCTTGACCCATCCCCAAATTTCCCCCTTTTCTCCATCTGCTGGTTTCGTTTAACCAGTATGGCAATTACCCCCTCGATGTCTGGACATTTTCTTCTGGCTGGGAAACTGTTTTGATCTGAATAGGGTGGTCTGTGGGGGATTCTGCATATTAATGACGTGGAGCTGGCGAGGGAGGGAGGGGAGAGCACCCAGCGTACTTTTTCTAGTTACGTTTCGCCTCATCACCGCTACAGGGGCCTTTCCCCCGGCTGCCTCTCCAGCAGCCCGCATCTTACCCTCTTCCAGGGAGCCCGGGGCCAGGTGAAAACCAACAGATGGCCAGTCGTCCAAAAAACAGACTCAGAGGCCAGACAACCCCCCCCGCCAGCACACCACCCTGGAAACGCACGTCCTCTGCAGCCGTCCCAGCGGCCACCCTCCATCCCGGCTCCAGCGCCCACCGCGCCCGAGCCAGCGCAGGATGCTACTCCCCTTCTACCGGTACCGCCCACCCTCCCGCCCCGAAAGGCCAGGACTTGCAACCGAGGGGTTAGCTCCGGTAACCCGCCCTTCCCCGTCGATCCCGGCCAGAAAACTCCACTTCCCGGATTCCCGGCCACTCTCCCTCCCCCTCCGCGGGCGATCCAGCAAAGCGCCGTCCTGATACCAACTGGGTGCCCAGCCCAGCGGCGCACCCCGCCTCCCCCACTCACTCTCCAAGCCACCCCCCCACCAGACCCCAGCTTCTCCCGCTCCGGGAGGTCCGGGGTTCCCCGATTCTGATACCTCCTGCCCACCCCGCCCCCCAGCCACACCGCCAGCCTCCAGCCCTG